CCCCCCCCCCATTGCCACGCCCCCCCCTGCTGGGGTCTCCTCATTACCTCCCCATTGTCAGTGCCCCCTCTCCAATGCTGGGGTGGGGCCTCCATTAACCCCCCCATTGCCACGCCCCCCCATGCTGGGGTCTCCTCATTACCTCCCCATTGTCAGTGCCCCCTCTCCAATGCTGGGGTGGGGCCTCCATTAACCCCCCCATTGCCACGCCCCCCATGCTGGGGTCTCCTCATTACCTCCCCATTGTCAGTGCCCCCTCTCCAATGCTGGGGTGGGGCCTCCATTAACCCCCCCATTGCCACGCCCCCCATGCTGGGGTCTCCTCATTACCCTTCCCATGGCATTGCCGTGGCCCCCTGTTCTGTTGACTCTTCTCCATTGTCCGCAGCCGCTCCCCGGCAGAAGGCAAAGGGGGTCACTATCCAACCCAGCCCAACTGCCCCAAACCCGGTCCCGCGGCCACCCTCGGCGCTGGGGGGAAGGTGACGACTGGTGGCTTTGTCCCACCCTGCTGCTGGGCGGGGATTGGGAGACGCCGCCTGTCACTCTACCGCCTGGCCGCGTGTGGAGTGGGCAGCGGGACTGTCACTCCGCGGCTGGGCCGCTCCCGTTGCCTCCTCCGGCCCCTTGTTGTCACGACGTAGGTCGGGCTCTTCGCGCTGCTGCCGCTGTAGTGGGGAGACGGGAGGGAAAAGCGGCTTCTCCTCCTCCCCCCCCCGACCAGTCCCCATTCTCCCGGGCCGGGGGCGGCGCCCTCGCCATGGCCACCAGCACCACGGGCTCCACGCTGCTGCAGCCCCTCAGCAACGCCGTGCGGCTGCCCATAGACCAGGTGAGGATGGGGAGGCGCCCACCCTGCCCGGCTTCCTGTGGGGAGAGGGGGCTGGCTGGGTTTAGCCCCCTCCACTCCATCCCATCCCCCATCCCACCTCTCCCCTCCTCATCCCAGCCATGGCATCTCTCCCCGCATGCACCCCCCCGCAGCCCATGGCACGTCTGTGTGTGTGTCTGGGGACAGCCCCCAGCACCTTCTCCCGTGCGTGCCCAGGCACCGGAGTGCCTGTGTGTGCATAATCCAGCCCTTTGTGTGTGCAGGAACGCTTGTGCCTGCATCCACCTATCTCTGACACTAGTGTGTGTGTGTGTGTGTGTGTGTGTGTAAAATGTGATGAACATGGGTATGCATCTGGTATGAGAATAGGCGATAACAATGCTATTTGTGCAGGTGCACATGGTGTTTTGATAAATACAAAAGGGTACATTAGATGGTATTTTTAATTGCAACGCTTGTTCTAAACTGTATTACAGATCTGTAATAAAATTGTGTACATAATATAGTTATATGTGTATTTATAAATTGTTATGGTGGTGGTTGACCCCTGTGCGTGTGGGTTAGTAGTTATACCAAGGGACTAGTAGAAACCATACGTTCTTTTCCTGGCTTTGTAATTACCCATGTGGCCTCGGGGAAGACATTTAACCTCTTTTTTTTTTTCATCTGGAAAGGGGGGATAATATTGACTTGACCTCCCAGGAGTGTCATGAGTGTTAGTTAATTTCTGCAATTCATGGAACACGCGTACTCTGCATTTATGTATTACTTATTTTGTGCATATATGTATCTGTTTATATAAACAAAATGTTTAATAATTATTATATACACATGGGCACTACACTTCCCTAGTGGCTTTTATCTCAGGATGTGTAAATACTTGATGCCTTATGTCTCTTAACACATGTAAAGTAGAAAGTGTTATCCTTATCTTATGGGTGGGGAAACTGAGATGTACAGGTTGAGTGACTTATCCAAGGTCGTATAGTATGTTTGTGAAAGAAATGGAAATAAAACTTGGATCTTCTAACTCCAAGGATAAACAGTTTTATAAATATATATGTAATGTTCATAAGAAGTGTAGTGATACTGTGATGTATGGGTAGAGAAACAATTTTAGAAGGAAGAATAATAAGAAAAAACATGGTGTAAATGTGTAAAGGCTGATCTGGGGCAGAGTGTCTAAGTTTCTAAGGTGATAGTATGCAAACAAAGGAAACAAGGTAAGGAAAATAGAAGAACTCCTATTATATGTACATAGAAGGAGTGTTACATTTAAGGGGCGTCACCAAACTTCACAAGAAAAAATCAGTGGGGACTAAATATTGAGGAAAGGAAACTCTCTAGAAAAGAGTTTTAGTTTTAAATTTTTCTACTCCACTAATACAAGAGTCTAAAAATACCCTAATTCTGTGGCTATATATATATATAAAGATATGGCTGTTACAAAAACTCCCAAAAGCAGGCAATTCTAGTGAATTCTGACACCAGGAGCTAGATCAGGGGTCGGCAACCTTTCAGAAGTGGTGTGCCGAGTCTTCATTTATTCACTCTAATTTAAGGTTTCACGTGCCAGTAATACATTTTAATGTTTTTAGAATGTCTCTTTCTATAAGTCTAAAATATATAACTAAACTATTGTTGTATGTAAAGTGAATAAGGTTTTTAAAATGTTTAAAAAGCTTCATTTAAAAATTTAAATAAAATGCAGAGCCCCCCAGACTGGTGACCAGGACCTGGGCAGTGTGAGTGCCACTGAAAATCTGTTCATGTGCCGCCTTCGGCTCGTGTGCCATAGGTTGCCTACCCCTGAACTAGATACTATGTAGAACTTCAGTTGATTTGGTATGCATCTCGTACAGGTAGCAAGGTCAGTATATGGCCTAGTGTCTGAACTCTCTTATTTCTAGATTTTAAGTTCTTAAAGCACGAACCACGCCTTCTCTATTTCTGTAAAGCACCTAGAACTCACTTGGATGTTGTAAAACAAAGAATAATAGATAACTCCTCACTTATGGCATGATTCCAGGATGTTGGCATTCGTTATAACTTTCATCACTTCGTGGCATATGGTCACTTGTTCAAATTCGTTTTTGTAAACATTGCTGATACATCACTTAAAATTATTTATCCAAAAGACTGGAAGGCCTCCATCTAGAATCTTAATCAATATACGGCTTATAACCTGTATTGTTCTAGTGTTCTGCAACAGATGCTTCTGTAAGATAGGTGCTTTATGAAAATTACCTTGCCCTTATCTAGCAAGCGACATGGAAGCTTCCAGGGCAATTTCAATGAAAACTGTGTGTAGTTTTAGAAGGTTTTTAACAAGAATGTTAAAATACTCCCTCCCCCCCTCATTTTTATATTGCCCTGCCCGATAGACAATTAATGTTGATATGTAGATGTGTACAAAGGAAAATTGCTGTGTATTTTCATTAGCCATGATTTAAGCAATAGTAATGTTGATTAGAGTATAGATTCAAGGCTTTGTGAAATTATACAACTTTGTAAGAAGTTGTATTTATTGGAGTACTTATTTAAAAAAAATCTTTAAAGCTGAGATTTTTGTATAACAAGTCTCATCACAAGACACATGCATAAAGATAAGTGTAATTAGGGAGAGAACATGAATGTTGGATGTAATCAAATGGGATGGAGCAGTGGAGGGAAAGGACTAAAAGGAAACAGAAAATGTTCAGATCAATTGCTGTATGTGCAAAGGTTATGTATGCCATTCAACAATATTGTACAAACACTAGGGATTATAAAAAGCAGATCTGGCTGAACAAGGAAGTACAAAAGCAGTAAGAGCTTTTTGTTTATACTGGTATAGTTAAAGCTACACAAATCCCTTTTGTGGGAGTTGTACCAGTTTGGCTGTGTCTTCACTGCCAAAAAAGGTGAGTTTTTACAGTGAGATAGGTAACGTGTGTTAACTATTTGCTGTAAAAATCATAGTGGAGACAAGGCTCTGTAGTTTTTATATTGATGTCGCTAGGTGAGATTAAACCCAGGTGGGGGGTATAATGTTGACTTTGTCTAACTATACTTTAGTAAAAAACTCTTGTGTCTTGTCTCCAGTAAAATCTTACAGAAATATGGCTAACACGTGTTGCTGTTAAAATAAATTTAAAGAAAAATATTTTTTGTCTGTGAAAACAGCCTAAAACTTGGATTAAGGGTATGATTTTTACAGAAATAGTTATACGAAAATATGCATGTAGACCAGGCTTTAAAAGGGATTTAGAGGTACTACTTAGAACAGGGGTTGGCAACGTTTGGCACGCAGCTTGCCAGGGTAAGCACCGTAGCGGGCCGGGCCAGTTTATTTACCTGCTGACGTGGCAGGTTTGGCCAATCGCGGCCCCCACTTGCCGTGGTTCGCCGTCCCGGGCCAATGGGGGTGGCGGGAAGCGGCGCGGACGAGGGATGTGCTGGCCGCGGCTTCCCGCTGCCCCTATTGGCCCAGGACGGCGAACCGCGGCCAGTGGGGGCCGTGATCAGCCGAACCTGCCGTGTCAGCAGGTAAATAAACTGGCCTGGCCTGCTAGGGTGCTTACCCTGGCGAGCCGCGTGCCAAATGTTGCCGACCCCTGACTTAGAAAAACACTCAGCACAGTCAAGGCTTGAAAAATTTAGGGGGTCATGGTATTGCTACCCTTATTTCTGCACTGCCTTCAGAGCTGGGTGGCCAAGGAGAGTTGGCTGCTGGCCAGGCGCCCAGCTCTGAAGGCAGTGCCCTGTCAGCAGCAGCACAGAAGTAAGGGTGGCAATACCATACTATGCCATCCTTACTTCTGCGCTGCTGCTGGCAGCGGTATTGCCTTCAGAACTGGACTCCCAGCCAGCAGCTGCCGCTCTTCAGCCATCCAGCTATGAAGGCAACACAACCTCCAGCAGCAGCGCAGAAGTAGGGGTAGCAGTACTGCAACCACCCTACAATAACCTTGCAACCCTACCCACAACTCCTTTTTGGGTCAGGACCCCTACAATTACAACACCATGAAATTTCAAATTTAAATTTCTGAAATCATGAAATTTATGATTTTAAAAATCCTATGACCAGGAAATTGGCCAAAATGGACCGTGAATTTGGTAGGGCCCTATTTATGTATTACTGTGGGCTGGGATTGTATGGAACCTCTCAAGAGTGGGAGATGTGACAAATGTCAGACCTGTGGTTTCAGAAAACTACATTGAACAATGTGCCAGACAAAAATGGACTCGTGGAACAAAAAGTGTTGTTTTCCTGGGGAATATCTAGGGGGAGGTGATTGCAAATTCTCCACTGCTGGTTATGCAAAAACACAGCCTTATGAAGCTATGCCCTGTGGAGTGGACTGTTGTTTGCTGATCCTCTTACCTGAGGCCAACATCAAAGACCCAAGCCGTATAAAGGAAAGCCTGATCTATTTATGGGTGTTCTGGTTCTAAATCTGTGACAGTTATAAATGTGTAACCATGATGAAAACCATGTTGTGGCTTTTGAAGGACTGACACCTACCAGAGCCCGAGGTTGGAATTGGTGTTGTCTCTAGTAAGCTGTTTAATGTGCATGTAGGTTCTTCTGTTGTCTTTAATATTTTTTCTCTGTAGTACTTTCACCTTATGAATAAATGTACTTGCTTATAAAGAGCCGTGTGGTAAAGTTTGTGAGTGTTGGCAGTGACAGTTGTTCATAGCCTTCGGAGAGAAAGTAAAGAGCAGCCTCTGACCTATTAAGGCATTCTGGCTTGCTGGGGAACTCACAGTATAGGCAGAGAATTGGGCAGCCTGAAAAAACCCTGATCAGGAGGAAGAGAGACGCAGGTCTCCTCTCAAAATGGATGACTGAGGGGCCGGGAGCCTAGACTGGGTGCCCTTGTTGGTGGGTGAAATACAGATGCATTTTCCCTGAACTGTCACAGCTGGGATTTTTATAAATTTGAAGTTCCAACTTCTCCAGTTGTTGGAAGGGTCAGGAGCTTTCTGTTTCGTTTCCCCCAACCCCATACATA